TCGATCGATTTGTGCTATCCGATCGGCACATTGAACGTCCACACGTGTATCCGTGGGGATCGGGAGGCAGCCCATACAGCCCGTAGGTATATACAAAATGCAGTCTGGCCAGACCTCAACCGCGCAGATACCTTACGTATGCAATAGCCATTGATCGTGACCATCGATATTGGCATTGTGGATGTCGGCTATAATCGCTTTTGTCTGTTCATGCGTTTGTCGTATTATTTACATCAACCCATGTCAGCCAGGTCAGGAACCAGGCAAGTGTCAACGGCACAGGAGATCAGGGATTAAGGATACCTACAAGCGAGCACAGCCTTTCCGTCCCGGCGTATAGTGCTGACGATACACGAATCTGGCACATGGGCCTAAGGATGGGAAAGTTCAGAATACGATTCCACAATCCCCATACTTGATGTTGTGTAAGGTATCCGGCCTACTGCGGCTAAAGTAGCATTCAGCTTGTGCAAACATCCCTCCCTTTTTTTGTGGTCTCCCACGTGGAACTTGTTGCTCGCTTCGACCGAGATGAATACCAAGCTGGCTGGAACTACTAACTACTGCAAGAATGAGGATACCTACTCGAGAACACGGGGTCTTAGACAAAGACAAGTTACGTTGCAACTGATGAGATTGAAATTTTTTTCACTCACATTACATACCCAGCCGTATTTTTCCGTACTACGATGGTATACCACAGGATCGGTCGGCTCCGGCTCGGTGGCTTCTATGATCATAACCCCTTATCGACTAGCGTAAACACAACGTCCATCTACATATGCGTGTATTGTACAATCTAGACTTTTTCGTTTCTTCTTTTCCCCCGCATAGTTCCTTGTCCCGTCGTGCACGCACCTGAATACGGCGCCAGCGTCAAGCAGCTAGTCTCCAAATCTGTAGGTATATGCAAATTGTTGAGACAAATTGAACACAACATACTACTACATAATGCGCGACTTCGCGGCCTGCTGAAAAAAAGACTCGCGTAGGCTTCCTCTTACATGTATGCACATGTCTTAATATAGTAAACGTTGACAATCTGTCTATGCAAGATACCCACTTGAAACAAACCATGCATCGTTACGAAGGGGTCTAGAAGGCGATGTTCATGCTGTTAGTTACGTGAGCCTCGTTTTTTTGAGTGCTGACACGCAACAAGAATCGAGACCGCTTACAAGCAGCTAGTGTTGCACGACTCCCTATCCTAGGGCTCAGTCTCGAAGGACACCAGATAGGTTATACCACACCCAAATGCCATGTCGTAACATACGCCAGCGGCTACGTGCACCCCCAAATGCGACTTTCCACTGCGCGCTGTCTGCAATGCACCGTGTCAGCGATCTCATGTTGGGAGATCTTGCATTGGGGCCAAGTCCAGATATAGCAACGGCTTCCCCGTATCGAATGAACGATTCCTTCTAGCCTACGGCAAGCCCATCGTGATTCGCATCTATGCGTCTTAGAAGTCGTATTACATATACTGAGAGAAATTAGACACGCTGATCAAGCAGCTGAAGTGTCTATTCAGCTAATCGTCAGCTCTGCATGTTAAGGGAAATGCAAGGAAATAAAATAAAACACGGGAAATATTTATGCTCAGTAGTAAGTAGGGAGAGTTTTGGTGATTAAGTCCATACTAGTCTAAAATTGGATGAAACTTAGTTGATATGTATAGAACGCGTCTTATCTCCTCTATAAGTGAGTATTAGACGCGTACTTTCGCGTCGTGAATAGTGCCAAATCCCCGCCAACTTTTAATCAGCCCCTCGGCATCCCCACACGCCAACGTCCATATTAATCCAACTACAGTACGGTGCGTTTCTTTTTTTCTTTCTCTTTCTCTTTTGTTTTGACCTTTCTTTTCCCCTTTCTTTCACACTTTTATTTTCTCTTTCTCTTTCTTTTTTTCTTTACAGAGCAAGAAAGTCTTGCACTGTGTGGCTAGTGCTAAGGCTGGCATGGCCAGTGTCACGTTTAATTCAATACTACAATTATCGGTCTCACAATTAAAACTCACGATTATATCGGCTCTAACTAAAAGATGATGATGATATGACTTTTCCATTGTGAAATGGGGGTTTAGATGATGCTTCGGTCCGGGTCCGGAGCCGGTAAGCATGCTCCGATCCGGTCAACGGATCACATCGCAAGAGCCGGCTCCCAGCTGATACCCCAGCATCGGCGACTTCAATCGAAAATTTCAGCCAAACCGCTGATTGTATAGTATTGCTCGCGTATACGAATATTCTAACCTCCTAAAAGTAGCACAAAAGGAGTGTTTGCCATATTAACCGGATTACACATTCATGAATCATCTTGATCCAGTTCCAGGCAGCTCCTCGCAACATGTAACCCATCTACTGAGAACGATAATAATATTAGTAACCTCTATTAGACGCAGGTGCTTTGATGACTATGTGACCTATCTACATGACCACGTATCTGAGATGAGAATGACAATTCAAATGCTTACGTTACGATTGGATATTGGTACATGTGATCTACTTACTCCACGCAGTACCCCAGAATAGAATACAGACGATTATTATATTTTTCGAGTCCGATGGTGAGATGATCACTTGGAGCTCTTGGTAAGCCAATATCGTTATCGACTATTGGTATCTAGCTACATGATGTTGCATGATGCATATGGACGCAGTGGACCAAAATAGACATACATCGACGTGCAAGACTAGGTCTAAACTAACGTGGGTAAACTTACACTTCAATAAGTGATATGATAAGCACCTCAAGAGTCTCGAAGCTACGTATGTGTATGATCTTATCATAAGCCCACCTCTAGCACAGACGAGCTGGGATTATGTACGCATGCAAGTACCGCATAACGGAATCAACAGCATGGTCAGATAAGACCAAGTCGAAACAAAGAGTACACGTAAACCTCAATGTTGCTTACAAAGTGTGTACGGTAAGAGGTAATTTGTCAGTCTCATATAAGCCATTACAATTATCAGATAAAATAGTCCGGCATGTTCGACAAGCGGTACCAGGAATACTTTTACGTTGGTAACATTTACGTGGCAGTTATCCAGATCACTGTGCCTCACTGTCACATTCCAGGCCCGAAGGATATATCAATAAGAAGTGACGAGTCGGAATTCATCAATTCGAACATTGTCGGGGTTTTAGATGAGATAACTATAACGGAGGACACTATCAGTATATACAGCCGTAGGCTCCCGTAGCTAGCTTGAACAAGATATGGTAACTCGCCAGTTCAAGAGGTGTATACATAAAAGACAATGACCAAAACCAACCAAGGTATAATAACAACATAATAACACACGGATGAGTATCGTATGATGGATAAGACTTTTAAATAAGCCGTAAATACTATCATGCCCAAATTTTCAAGACTTCCGTTACTTTGTATAATATAATACTGTAGAAAATATAAACAAGAAGTTAAATGTCATCATCTAGCTAACCTATGGATTAAGATCAATGCCTCTATCGCTAACCCTAAGGTGAGATTTGTTGATTCTCATAATGACAATCAACATAGCACGCATTCACCGACTGCATAAGATAAGCATACAAACATACAGAGGTAACTTGATCTCTCCCGCCTTTAAAAAGAGTTTAACGGACATTATCCATATTTAAGATTCAGTATCAAGTTGGCGTTTACGTTATTCAAACTGGCTGCAAGTCCTATAATCAATGATTTTAATATCTACCTATAGTTTTACTCCTGTAAACATTAAACTTAATCAACAATGCGCAATTGTTTGGATCTTCAGGTATTCGTACCATTCATCATATCGATGACACTTTTCAGGATGACTGAGTATAACCGCAATTTAAGCTGATATATGGAATAATTAAACACAAAATTAAATTGTAACTAGGTAATAGGTAAGCATCTGAAGATTATTCACACACTTGTTGTAGGATCAACTCAACAGGTTCCAAGAAGGGTTACAAATATACTCATACTTTATCAACTGTGGCCGTTTCACATGCTCCTGGTTAAAATAAAAGTCATGCATTAATCAACACAGGCATATCTAAACGGAAAACCTGCCACACCGCAATAAGGACCCATAGACCGTAGAACGCCTAGCAAGTACAAGGAGTACAGGGTTATTTTCCGCTTGGTACTAGCCGGGTTGGCGTAACGAAGAATAATCTCCTATCATCAAATAGTGAAGCAACCTCCTTTCTACATACCGAGGCCTGGCTTCGACTGGAAGTGTATTCTCATGTTGGACTTGCTAGTAATTTGAATATCAAGTAAGGCAAATATAAGTTTAACGTAGGCGGTGTTTTCAGCCAAGAAGAACATCCGGGATTTGTTTGTGCTACGAATATAATTATTGATACGTGTGGATTTGGAGATTATGAAATGGTCTCGACGTGAGAGCAACTATATTATTGCGTAGGGGGACTACATATGTAACTGCCTGTGATCATTCACTTGCTACGGTGTCGGGCTAGGTAGACCTCCTAGCAGGTCAAAATGAGTCATTGAATAACTGCCTTCGACCTGACTCACATAGAAAACACGTAAACCGGGTAGGCCACGGGATATAGCATATTGGTACGGTCGCGCCGAAAACATGGAGGCAGATACTACACTACGAACTAGACAATATGGTGCAATCACGGGAAACGAAAACGGATGGATGTTCTTATGTGTTCGTCAATTGATTATGCCTCGATGGACAAATCCATGTAGTGGACCCCCAAATCCCTTATGATACAGTGAACACCCTAAACGCAGAACCGAATCCCATGATCATCATGACCAACCACAATGCAATAGTTATGTGGCAACCGCGAGAAAAGACTTCATAACAAACGTGACCAAAACCCCTCCAAAGCCCAAGATTGAATGTTTAACCACCGAAACCGTACAGGGTGCGGCCTTGTCGCTTTAGAGCGTAGACAACGTCTAGAGATGTGACAGTCTTGCGCTTGGCGTGCTCAGTGTAGGTGACGGCGTCACGGATGACACCCTCGAGGAAGGACTTTAGAACACCTCGGGTCTCCTCGTAGATCACTGCGGGGCAAACGCGTTAGTTAACTGACGCGTTATAGACGTGACTGAGTAGATGTAACTTACTGGCTGAGATACGCTTGACACCACCACGACGAGCGAGACGTCGGATAGCGGGCTTGGTAATACCCTGGATGTTGTCACGAAGAATCTTGCGATGACGCTTGGCGCCACCCTTTCCGAGGCCCTTGCCACCTTTGCCGCCTATTCGAGGTATGTTAGCGACGCGATCTGATAAGGCTGAAGCTGAAAAAGGCTAGATGCCGAAAGGATATAGCCGAAGCTGAATAGGATACTTACGTCCAGTCATATTGAATGAGGTTAGAGAAAAGTATTTGGTTGATAGGTTTTGGTTATGGGGTGCTTGGTGCTGGTGCAAGTGGTACAGATGAGGCTGATATGCAAGCGGTATGTTTGGAAGATGGAAAGGTTGAGACGTGGGGAAAAGCGACAGTTTTAAATATCAACGGGGCGGGTCCGGTAGCTGGGAATCAGATCAGCCCGGGATTGACGCGAACTCGTGCCTGATCAGCCCCACTAAGTCGCAAAATAAAATAGCGGATTTTAACCAATAGAAAAAAAAAGAATGCTGCAGTCCAACGCGCTCCGCAGGGCAGCTGCGCTTGATTGTACACGGACCCCACTACTCCCATTCGGGTCAGATTTGATATGCAAGAAGTTTAAATCAACTTGGGCCAATCATTAATTCTCATTCTCTTATCGTTTTTCGGCTTTTGACGTTCTTTTAAGCAGTCAACCTACAAATCTACTAATAAACTAAAAGTGTCACGAACGCAACTTAATGATAATAATTAAACTTTATGCGCTTACTATTTATATTACCAAGCTAGGAATAGTTGGAAACCATTTATTAACCTTAGTCTGACTTGTTTCATGCATGGAGAATCTATTACATTCCATGAAGAAGCCCTTAACCTACATAGCTGTGTTATGTTTAGAATGATGCCTCAGGCATAACACTTACGTAGCTGCCCTCCTTTACGCATAGTACATTGCCATATGACTATGACTAGTTTTTCAAGCACACCTAAGTTTGCCACTTAAAGATAGTAATTGGATGTATCATTCATACAAAATACTTCCGCTCACCAATGGAATAATGAAATACGTACTTGAGAGAATGTCTTAGATCCGCGGAAACATGATATATGCCAAATCCAGTAATAATAAGATACCTATGCAAGTACGTTTCAGCGCTGCACTTTCATTAGTTGCAGCCTTATCAAATGTCTTATCAGTTTTAGTATGTTGCCATACGTACGGGTCGAATAGCAATTGCCTTTTTCTTGATCTAGAGGATTTAAATTGCTACGAAAGTAGTAAAGTCACTAAATTTATGGAGAAACCGCTAAGGTGCACCCAATCAGAAATTGGACGAGTCCCGAATGGCAACCAAGTCTCAAAATTCCCACCTAAAATCCAAGCACTTTTGAACAGCAAAACACATCCCTGTCTCCCCCCCAAAAAATAATCAACAACGCACCCCAAAGTAACCGCGCTTTCGAAATTTTTTTTCTCTCTCTGATCCTGCAACGCTGCGCATTGACCATCTGATCAGTTGCCCCCCAGAGTACCTGCCTTGCACACAATCAGCCAAAGGAGAAACCCAATCTCTCACATATTTAACTAAGTTCCCCCACCCCTCCAATCCGTTTTCTCTTTTCTACCATCTACAACAATCCACAACAATCCGCATTCGCCTCATCTTCACCACAACAACCATCAATATTACCACTTCCATCAACTTTTTCATCACCAAACTACTCGGTAGCATCATCTACAATGGCCCGCACTAAGCAGACCGCCCGTAAGTCCACCGGTGGCAAGGCTCCCCGCAAGCAGCTCGCCTCCAAGGCTGCCCGCAAGTCCGCACCGTCAACCGGAGGTGTCAAGAAGCCTCACCGCTACAAGCCCGGTACCGTCGCTCTTCGTGAGATTCGTCGCTACCAGAAGTCGACTGAGCTTCTCATCCGCAAGCTCCCCTTCCAGCGTCTGGTAAGTTATTATCCGTTCTATCATATCACCATCGCTTCATCCACGCGTCACTTGACAAGTGGATATCGCGACCGTGTTCTTCTACTTAACGCGACTTCCCCGCATCGCGATCATCAACAACATCAGACTAACGCGTCTTTAATAGGTTCGTGAAATCGCCCAGGATTTCAAGTCCGACCTGCGATTCCAGTCTTCTGCCATCGGTGCTCTTCAGGAGTCCGTCGAGTCTTACCTCGTCTCTCTCTTCGAGGACACCAACCTGTGCGCCATCCACGCCAAGCGTGTCACCATCCAATCGGTTAGTACACCTACTTCCATATTCACTATTTTACACATTTCTAACAACCATTACAGAAGGACATCCAGCTCGCCCGCCGTCTCCGTGGTGAGCGCAACTAAACAGTTGTCCGCTTACGGTCTTGGTGATTTGCAGGGGTTTTGGTCGGATGCTGCACTTTATGATTCCCACAGGGATGGCATGATGAATTCGGTTTACAGGGAATGGTAATCATTACGGCGTTTGCGATTACGTTGCTTTTTACAGATATGGATTGTACCATCAGTGATAGGCAGTTAGCCTTCTGCGCTGCGATACTGAACTGAGAAATCAGAAACATGAACAAACAAACTCACTAGTCTTTCCATTGCCCGAGTGACTTAATGTAACTATCGCTACTAGTTTATGAATCATACCGTATGCCTTCTTGTATTATGAAATATCTAATGCGCTTGATCGTACGACTAATGACTCTACTTGGTCTCTTGCATGTATTTGCGCCTGTAGTTATTACTAACTTGTATTCCTTAGGTAATGTTTAATGCTAATATTGGACTGCATTGTGTTATTGTATTTGGACCGAGTTATCCTGTCAATGATTATGACAATCAGGTCGCTTCTAGTATGTTTCTACTTGCCCGAATATGTCAAGCTAAGGGTATCGAATATGAATGTGTGTTACTAATATGCGATCACCCCCTCTATCATAGAATAGTATTGATGTTGATCACTGCACTCTTAACTACGTTTTGTGCGCTGTTGAATGTTCCCATATATATATCACATATGCTAATAGATCTGATCGATAAATGCTCAATTTTTACTCCCGCTTATATCCAGAACGAGCTTGGCATGTTTTTATTCTCTCCAGTCTCTGAGCTAATCTCCTTGTATCCAACTATGTAGGCAGCAATCCCCTTTACCCGGCTATCGGCTCATTCTATATCGACATGGTAAATCCCGTCCGCTCGGACACATTTCTCCCGTCTTTTTTCCCTGTAACTATAATATTCGCGTAGTTACGTGTCTAAGTCGTAGTGCAGGGGTATCTATTAGAGTTTATTTCCACATTACGGTCTTTGGTGAAACTTGGTAGGACTCTTGATACGTAATAGAGGGCAGAATCAATAAATGAATTTGCCTCGTGGTAACTCAAATTGTATATACGTGGTACTAGGATTTCACCTCTACATATTCTAAGTCGCGGCCTCACTACATATGTCGCTAAATAGAGGTGACTTCTTTTGAAGTTGCAACGCAAGTCTTATCATATTAAGGAGGTTTCTCATTGTACTCAAGTCATAAGACATGATTGTGAAATAGCTGGTATTTTCCCATATCTAACTCTAAGAATACAAGTGTACTCCAAACCAAGATTTCAAAGATTCCATTGCGCCTATTTTGATATCTTATTAACTACGACCTCTCAACCCAAGTGGTTCTTCCCGTTCTTCGGATGTGCCTTGAGAAGAACGTCGAAGGCACCCGTGCCGATCATGCCGAGTCTTCCCATGACGATTCGGCTACTGGGTGTGGTAAGATCATCCCAATCTCCGTCGAGAACGGCGTCCTTCAAGAATGATAACGTAGTCTCGAAACTCATCTTGGTGAATGGACTGACGTTTCCCTTCAAGCCGTTGCGGTTGAACGGGGTGAATCCTCCATTCCTCGTCATGTAGTCTCCGATGAGGTTGAGATGTCGTTTGTCGACACCGATACCGTGGCCTTCGAAAACACCGCCAAGTTCCCGAATGATACTGTTACGTGCTGCCTCGACGCCATACACCTGGAGCACTGATGCAATATCGTTCGTCTGGATTTTATTAGGGTTGATGAAGTCGCCATATTTCTGCATGGCTCGGAGATTGACGCCTTCTGTGTGGATAACCGCCTTCTTTTCTTCCTCTCCAGTTCGCGGGTCGACTATCTTTTCGTCGGCCACGAATGTGCAGGACTTGATACCATCGATTTGCTGTATGAGCGTCTTCCGGACTGCGTCCTGGAGAACGCTCAACATGAGGATCTTAGGTATGTTGGAATCGTATTCGAGTGTGAAGTCACACCACTCGCCTTTCTTCTCGTCGCATGTAAAGCGAGATACGACCGGGGTCCTCTCCTTGATACGACTTTCGCGGGCACCGGCTCGTTTGCTGGTACTGCCGTCTTCATCTTCGTCGTCGCTTGGTGGGGGCGGACTACCGCCAAATCCTTCGTCCTCAGGCTCCTCTTCATCTTCCGGTGATGCCTCTCTCTCCATTCGCTGCTGGATCTCGTCATCTTCTTCATCATTCGCACCATATGAAACTGCCTGTGATCGGTTCGCGCGTTGCTTGGCATTTGTTGCGTCATCGTCATCGTCATCATCGTCGTCATCATCGTCATCGCGAGCTACGGCGTCGGGGTTGCCCGATGCTACTTCGACTACGCCAGACTTGACACCAACCTCAGGTACCGCGTCACCCTCTCGATCAACCTTTGCCTTAATTTCCTTCCTGATTAATTTCTCCAGCGTGGGTAAGAATTTAATCTCGAGGGTGTTCAGGACGTCGGAAATACTGATCGCGTACGTCTTTGTGTATTCGGTGGACGGGAAGAACTGGAGGTGAATATCGAACATCTTTGCCAAGCGGTAGCCAATGCCCTTGCCGACACGTTCCTTTACCGTAGCCTTGTCGACGACGTGCGAAAGCGGAAGGATACTGATGGCTTTTGCAAATGTCTCTCCGTCCGCCTCCGATAGTTCTTCGTTTAGTACCAGCGTCATGGACGGCGTGGAAATGTGGTCGCTGGCTGTCATGAGAATTTCTCGCAAACGGGGGATACCGAGAGTGACGTTCTTCGCAGAGTGACCAGCCAAATGGAACGTGTTCAATGTCATTTGAGTCGAAGGCTCACCAACGGATTGACCAGCAACGATACCTACAGCCTCACCTGGTTCCACTAAGGAGTGAAGATATTTAGAATGGAATATTTTCTCGGCGTATTTACGAGGGATGAGCATAGCACCTGATTTCTTCTCGCCCTTCTCCTTGATCAGACCGTCCTGGTTTTTCTTGATGTACTCAGACACCTTCTCGTAGAACTTTTCTGACGTGGAGAATGCATGGCGGTTGGGATTAAGCTCAGTGTGAATGGGGTCGAGGGCCTTTGGATCATTAGCCTTGGCTTGCTTGATGGCCTTCTTTTGGTATTTTTGAGCGTAGTCCTTGGATTCGTAGATTTCTTGATCCCATCCCCTTTCTC